CCCAGCTGTCTTCCACTCACTTCCTCCTTCTCCACAGCCTGCCGCTGTCAAGTTCCGCCGTCTAACAACAGCTAGCCCTCTGCTCAATTGCACAAGGACCTTACTTGCGCCGGTGCATGTCTTCATCCAAAAGACGCATCGTTACATTGGGCTACCACTGCGCCAAGCGCACATGCCAGAGACTTGATTACTTTGAGTTGTGTGAGAAGGAAAACCCTGTACAAGCAGGTCAACACTGTTCAGTTTCTGGAGGGGATAATAGCAGCATTTTGCTGCACCAGGCACTCTTGACTTGTGCTGTTCCTTTTGAGCTACTCTCTCCTCTTCTGAGCTGTGTTGGGGCTACCACTGCGCCAAGCGCACATGACAGAGACTTGATTCCTTTGAGTTGTGTGAGAAGGGAAATTCTGTACAAGCAGGTGTATTTCAAGCTGTGCTGGCAACGCCCACTGCACATGATTCCAAGCTGTGTTGGCGTCAAACTGCGCCAAGCGCACATGCTTGGTGTTATGTTCTTGGAGCTGTTTAAGAAGTAGAGCCCTGTACTGGCAGGTGCACATTGTTCCAGTTTTCACACACAAAAGCAGCCCTGAGGTCAGGACTTTGGTCAGAAGGGATCAGTAGCAGCACATCATTATGCCAAGCATGCTTGAGTTCATGCTGCCTCTCTTTTGAGCACTTGTGAGCTCTGATACAAGCTGTATATGAAGATCAGTGACATGTTCAAAGGGAATACTGCCCTGTCTCCAACATACATGTAGCCTGAAGCTCAGGGCATGGCCAAACCTATCTTCAACTAACTTGAAGGGAGTATATTGAGAGGTCTGCTCCTCTGCAATTCTGTCAAGGTTGTACAAGTGGCTGTTGTGGTTGGGGCACTGATGTGAAGTCCAGGCAGGGCTGTGCTTGGAGAGGTGCTTGTGGCTGTTGTCCACGCTCCTTGCAGTGCGTGACAAACATGAATGTGATAGCTAGAGCGGAAGCATGTACCACCAAAAAGAAAAAAGACACACAGACCCCAACTGTAACGGACGGCCCGCTACATCAGCTGCGCCCATTACACACACCGTTATACGCACCGTTATACGCACCGTTACACGCACCGTTACATTACACACGCCATCACACACACCGTTACACAGACCATCACAAACGCAAACTCCATTACACACCGTTGCGCACACCACTGCCATTACACGCGCCGTTACATGCACCATCACACACGGTGTTCTCTATAGCCGTCAACGCTTCTCTGCCACACACAGACAAGCATCGACAAAAGGTATATAAGGAGGCCTTCATCCGGCCTCCTCTTCTCAGAAATGCATGCTTCTTACCACCACCTTCTCCTACGACTACCTCGTCTGAACAACACTCGCTCAACGACTGGCCTGATCACCCAGCTGTCTCTCTCTCTCCTCAGCTCTAGCATCAGCTAAGTCCTTGCCCATTGTAACCTTCCGTCCACTCACTGCTTGTTCCCTGCTCCTAGTTTGACAAGCACAGAACCTTACCTGCGCCGGTGACGGCTCCGGTCATCACCGCTGAGCCGCATCGTTACATTTGGTGAACACTGCAGGGGATCAAGCAAAGGAACTTTACGACCGCTTCATCGCTCTTCTCTACAGCCCCGTGGACGCACGGCGCTGCGCTTGACAGTTTGGATCACGGATCCAAGGATAGTACAA